AGAGACCATAGAAGAACTTAGAAGTAATGGTTTCTGTATCCATGCTGCTATTAGGAAATATACGCTTATGTTGCTCAAGGCTCATATTAGTTCCACGGTCATGAGTCAAAGAATCTTATGCATATGACTTTTAAGACATCGATGTATCCCGAATTCCTGTGGGAACTGGATTGATGAACAGGTCTACACATTTCGACAATTGCATGTACTCTTCGATAGAACTATTTTTTAAATTCGCTCAAACTAATTATTCAGTCTATAAGGGGATTCCTTGTGAAGGGCTATATTACCCCAATGGCCATATTCCCCCAAGTTACCCTATTCACCTGGAGGTGACGAAGAGTCTCATTTTTTTGTTTCAGCTCACCATTTCGCAATGAAAAATGAAACTAGATGCCGTTTAGCCATTTTTGACTTAGCGCGATGGGTCCAGTCCCGCCCTCCAGTGTTGCTGGATATCTTACCTTAGTTATCCCATATTCATGATTTCATCCGCCATCGTATAGGTGTCTGGATCTTCTCTTTCTTTTAATTCATGTGCTCAATTCATGGGATGAGCTGAGACTGAAGCGGTCTTTTGTAGTGGCTGATCGATTTGGCGGAATACGGAGATATCTCATCGGACATCCTTAAATAAAAATTATGGCGGCCAGTTCTTTTGTCATGCGCCCTAAAGGCACCTTCTCAGAACGAGTTGAGACGATTCGAGGAACTCTGGATATTCCAAATTTTTTCCCGACCGCACCGAAATAGCTCATGAAACTCGTAAAAGACCTAACGTTACACGTTCTCTGCGAAATGTGCTGAGAGACTGAATAGGCCTGGGATTGGCCCAACGTTACACGTCCTCAACGAGGCGTCTCGAAGACCAGGGATTAATCCTCATAGGCCTAATTGGCCTGTAGGCCGAGGATTGAGTTTTATTTAACGAAAAAAGGTACGCCTATGCCTGACCCGATGACATTCCGTCGGTTACGCGAAGCCCGAACGTTAATGCAGCGGAGGCGGTAAAGTGGAGCGGCTGGAATACCACAACAGTCAACAGGACGCCTAAAGTGAAAGGTATTTAATTAATATGTCCTCTCCATGGCAGTCCACACTTTGGGGCCTGTGACAGATAATGAGGTGTGCATCAGATGGTCCACAACTTAATACTTGTAGTGCACGGCCATCTGTTTTCGAAAAATTTAAATGGGATTTCCTTTCCCCCTTTCAAGTTATGAAGAGGTTCTTAAAATCTAATAAATCCTCCATTTGAATCTCTCATGTTCCACCTTAGCCTCAAATTGCAATGAAGGAACCCATCTGATAATGTAGCAATAGGGTTTGCTTTCTATTTACTCTTTTCATTGTGATTTCAAAGCAGACATTTAAAAAAGTGGAATGATATTTATTCTGTTTCTAGAATAAGATTCTGCAAAAAATTAAATTTATTAGAGAGTGAATTAAATTATTAAATTAGAACGTGAGTCAAAACATGGATATATTAAGAGGATCGAGGCTAGGAAGTAGAATTTAAAAAGGCAATTTGAATCTCTCTATTCAATAAGTGACTCATTACTCCATTAAAAATCAAGGTCTTTAACTTTCATCGCCTCGACACTCCGCGCCCATCATGAGAGGGAGGAGATGGCAAACTGGCCGCATTATGTACGAGGTGCTGACTAAAACCAACAATTTATTCCCATTTCATCACTACCAATAGAATTGATTGATCTGGATAAGATATTGTCTTTCGAGGGGAGTGTCCTTCAAGGAAACACCTTTTCAGGTAATAACCCAAGCAGCATGTTCACGTAAGCAAGATATCAATTTTTTGCAAACAATGTAAATTTCATGAAAATGACATCACGTTTACGAAAAATTTACGTTCCTATATTTACGTCACCAAAGTGTACGTGTATTTTACATCAACTTGACGTCACTCCTTCTGACGTGAAGTACATGATAACAAGTTTATGAAAAATTAACAATACACCATCCAAAAGAGGTGACATTTCTGCAAACATGTTGACATTTTCTTGACAATGGTTTGTGTAAAAATGATATAAAATGAATAAAAAATTTACATTCGTTTTACGTAAAATTAACGTAAACATGCTGTTTGGGAACCTTCCTTAAAATACCGTAATGACAAATATTTACTCAATGTCAGTTCATTCACCTCTTTGAGAATTTCCTTGTATGAAAATATTTGTGAATATGTTCTCAGGGAAGAATTTGTGTTTTCATTTCCTGTATGGCCAAGGAAATCATTTCAATTATGAAGGTATGGTTATACTAAGGAAGATGTTTGTTCGTTGTAATAGCATTCTAGGTGAATTTTAACAATTTTCTCATGGATATCTTCTGGACCATTTCAATACCCATTTGAAGGATGGCCTTGATTGGTCCTGCAGCATAATAACGTCCGTTAGAAAATTCTATCTCATTAACATCATTATCCTCGATCAGGTTACTGGGAATGAAGTGCCGGAAGCGAGACTCGTAGCTTACCTTCTTTTGACACGCCGAATTGAGACTGGTTTCCTGTGCCTCCATCGAGCATGGACGGAAGGGATCGAGGCGTGCCAGGACAACACAATGCTGGGGGAATCCCTCAAAATATTCCACCTTTCGTGGAAACAGGACCAACGCGCCCATTAGATTTCCTGTGTCTGCCCAATTCCTCTCGGCAGCAAGGAATGCCTCTCGTACAGCAGCAGATGCAGGCTCCATATGCCCCCGTTTACGTCCAGTCCAGCCCACAAGACACAATACCATTCCCTCCACAAGAAATGCAATTCCCTCTGAGTGGATCTTCAAGTCATGTGCTCGATCCTGGGAACTACTATCCAAATTATGGGCAGAATCCATCAAATTATCCAATGGCTAAATTCCACCCAGATATATTTCCCCCGAACCCACACCCCTCAAATTCGTCCTATGGAAACCCATTGCCTCATCAAGTGATTACTGAACATACTCAGTATGGGAACATGCACGATGCACTTCGGTAAGACACACAAAACCTCGTTAAATTATGAAGCCATCACCGTTGAGTACTAATTGTCACCTTTTCTTGACTCCTTCACTCAGGAATCAACAAAAGCCTACCGCTCACTTGTTTCCAGGTGGCATACAGGTATTATTTACTTTTTGTAAATTCCCAGTGAAGACTGATTTCTTCCATTGATGTCAGCTCAAGATCCTCACCTGCGCCTCCATTTCCTCTCATTTTCGGTAGAAGGAGACGGAGAGATCTCAGTCGCAGTTGGGCGATATTCTCGCTCAGCTTTTTAATCAGGTGATGAGTCGATGATATTCCTTTTTTTGAAGCCTTTCCTTGTTTGTTTTTTTTTTCAAAGATTTTTTTGCAGGAATTCGCTGTCGGGGAGGGGGGGGGGGGGAAACCCCCTCTGCAGAGAGAAAAATGTCTATTGCGTCCGCTAATAAGCACTGAAAGTTGTTATTCCTTACAAACTCAGAATCTTGGCCACAATTCTTGTTAACATGAAGGGAAAGGATTTATTAATCCGACGTATACCATACTCAAGGAATTCACTTTCATTGAAAATCGTTTAAGAACAACACAAAATCGAATCAATTATTTGACGAAGGACCCAGTTCCTTCCCAGTTCCTAATTTGCATTCACTAGTTTGATTGACTCATGACGACTATTGACGTTCGTTTCATCGCTCTACGGAGCAGCCGCTCTGACTTGAAGGGCCTGCCAAGCCCGCCCCCCTTACCCAAAGGGGTATTCACACCTACAAGACAAGCTTTTAATATGTAGCTCTTGTATCCAGGATCTATCGTGACCCTGTGAGAAGTCCATTCACCACTTTCATGCAAGCTAATGAGTTGAAAATGCGGATAGAGCAACGTGATGGTAACGACGCCACCGGCGTCATTTTCACTATCTAAAAGTAAGCGCTTCTGTTCCATTCAGTTGGGATTCCGCCGATTCAGCTTCAGGAGTCACTCTGCTTGAGAGTGCCGATGTAATATGAGGATGTGGTTCCGATCGTCAAAAGGGTCGGTACCCAGATAAATATATGGGCGGAGATTTCATCCTGGCGAGGAAGTCATCCATCCTCTAGGGTTGAAATGGGACTCCAAGAGTAATACGCGGGACGTTTTACACGTCCCTGAGGAAAAGTCCGCATTGGACCACAATAAATAAGAAGTGGGGGGGTGTAGAATGCCCCTCTCTCCCGTTGTAAGGTTAGGTACGGCATGAAAGTCTTGGATGGAATGTTTTGGGTTCGATGGTGTAGTGGTAGCACGGGCAATAGGAGGCCGTGTGTTTGATTCCCGCCCTCTCCATTTTAGTTTCATCCTCTAGTTTTATCCAAATTCCACCCTTCCCACGGGGGCGATTACTTTCTCCAGTATACATAGTAGATCCGACTGCGGCAACGGCCGCATCACAGTAAGCGAGCCCGAGAGAGGGAGACGTACACCAACAGGCAGTCATGACATTCTATGCGCATAGCACATGCTATCGCGCTGTGCGCAAGCATGTGTCATGTGTGAGCGCGCGCAAATGCCACCGTGACCACTACCACGGTAGATTTAATTATAAAGATATGGATGACATGTAATACTAATAGTGTAATACATGTAACAGACGTAAATAAAGGGGCTTCAAATAAAGGTTCAATTCTTCTGGTATGTGTTTGCGAAGGCAGCGTGATTTACAAGTGTTCTGGAAAACTTGAAATTAGTAAGTTTCAAACTTAGGATGATCCATCCATATAAGAAGGACTTCTTCAACTTCATTTGAAAATACGGCACATCCACACTTTCTTTTAATTATATACTGTATATATATTTTTTTTTGGATGCACCTAAAAGAAAACACATTCGGAACTCTTAGAAGTAAACCTTTCTGCTTTAACGTTTATGTTCTATATGCAGAACACATGTTGAGTAATTCTAGATCCATAAAAATATTGAGATTCCATAAAAGACTGTCATACAGAAGTTTTCTCTAAGTTCCCTGAGACACTGAAAGCCACAGAATTCCGGCTCAGTGATGCAGGGGAAATTCCTTCCATGAGTCCAAATTTAAAAAGGCAAATTTTCATAATGATATGAAAAAAAAACATAAATATTTGGTTCTGTCTTTAAAACCGAAACTGACGCATTTCTAGCGTAATATTAAGAGTTCTTAGGAAATTTCAATTACCCCCCAAATGTTCTTCAAAGATGAATGCAGATCAGAGAGGTAGCGGGAAAAAGGCCACGGGAGAAAGGGCAAGGTCCGCCGATAAGAAGGTTAAAAGGGTTCCGAAGATGGACTCCTCCTCGTCTGATGAAGAGGCCGAAGAACAAAGAAAAAAAGAGGAACAGAGAAAAAAGCGCCAAGAAGAGCAGAGGAGAAAGAGCGAAAAATGGGAGAGAAGAGAGAAAGAGCAGCTAGAAAGGGATAAGCACCGCCTTCGGCGACGTTTGTTGCGAACACTCGCAGAGACGGAAGATTTAGCGCAGAATATCCTTGGATTGGCTGAAACTCTGAAAACCGCACCTGATAAAATTCATAGGGTCATTGAAAATGACGAAAGGTTCGTACTTTCAGGGACCACGGTATTGCTGAACATTCAGTTATCGTTATGTCAAGGTCACTTGACTGAAGGCTGCGATAAAGAACAGTGCCAATCATTGCACATTTGCGCGAAATACCTTGCGGAACTCTGCACCGATGCCAAGTGCGAAGTGGGCCACGACATCGCAACGGAGCACAACCGCCGCCTCCTTGGTCCATTCGACTTGGAGAACGTCGACTACCGAACGCTGAAAAAGTTCCTCAAGCCGGATTCTATCACTCCCGAACCGTGCTTGGAATACAACCTCTCGCAATGCACTGAAGATCCTTGCCCCAGGATGGACATGTGCGCGGATTGCGTCTCGGGAGCCGGCGAGGCGTGCACGCTGAATCATGACGTCTTGGAACCGCGATGCGAAGAATTGCTGCGACAGGCGAATGTTAACTTGAGTCGATCGAGAAGGGAGTTGAAACTGCATCTGAGGAAGAATTGGGTCTCCAACATTCAGATTTCGAAACGAAAGAGAGAACGGGAAGAAGTAGAAAATTTTCGCCCGACTCAGGTTTCTCCTGCCCCATCATCGGGAAATCAGGATTTTACAGTCGTGAGTTTTGCAATAGTTACTTTAAAATCGTATTAATGAGAAAGACGCAATATCCGTGTTACATTTTACTTAATGTTATTACTTGACCACGCAGACAACAAAAGCAGAAGGATAAAATTAGGTGCATAATTTGTACGCTGCGATGTACAAAAGTAAGTACATTCTTTGAGAAAATATAGAAACAAAACATGAAACAATTGTCACCAAAAAAGTTCCGAAAGTGGTCCTTTCTTTGGATTCAAATGCGTTTTGGACACACGGGCGATGGGAAGATTCGAATGGGAACCCTATATGTCAAGAATGTGAGCAAATACAAATCAAGCAAGAAATCTCAAGCCAAGGAGATGGAAGGACTTTCATCTTAAATTTCACGATCTCAAAGGAGGTTACCTGCAAAAGTCGAGGATTTGAGGAATTTTACCCTTTGGGAGAAATGAATCACATTTTAATGCAACTCAATCTTTTTAAATGCGATCTGTTTTCAATCTATTTTCTAATTTTTCCATATGTAGAGTGAATTGAAGCGGAAACGGACACTGGCTCAGATGAAGCAAAATTGCAAAAACATTGACGGTTTTATCTATGAGCTCCCACGGAAGAAGGTGATGGAAGATAAAAAGAATCGATTAGCCAAATATGAGATCGGTGAAAGAGGATCCGAAGACGGGCTGAGGAAGGTGTTAATGCTCCTCGGAGGCACAGGAACAGGTTCTGCCCATTTCATTCTGAGATATTACTGGTTTTATTGTGTATGAACTCCAGTCAAAAGCATTATCTCTCTCTCCCCCTTAGGAAAGAGTACAATAATCAATGCGATGGTGAATTACGTGTACGGAGTGAAGTGGGAAGACGACTTTCGTTTCAAAGTGATTGTGGAAGAACACGAAAGTGGAGTAAGTCAAGCTCAAAGTCAGACGCAATGGATCACAGTCTACACACTACACAGGCAGCCGAGCTTTGCTATCCCTTATACCTTGACTGTCATCGATACCCCTGGGTTTGGACAAACAAATGGGATCATGGCCGATGAAGAATTGAGGGACCAGATCCGAGAATTCTTTTCCAATATTGGGAACGTTGGCGTGGATCAACTTGATGGAATCGGCTTCGTCGTCCAGGCTTCTATACCCAGACTCACGCCCACACAAAGGTACATATTTGATTCCATGATGTCAGTGTTTGGAAGGGATATGGAAGGCAATATCTACGTACTAGCAACATTCCCGGACAGCAAGAGTCCGCCAGTCTTACGAGCCCTCGAAGATGGAGACATCCCTTATCGAACATATTACAAGTTCAATTATTTTGCTCTCTTCCATCGTCCTGATGACTACTACGCTGATTTTAATAAGATTGACTGGGAAATGAGCATGCAATTTATGCACACATTTTTCAAAGACTTTCAGAAGTCGAAATCAATCAATCTGATGCTGACAAACAAAGTTTTATTGGAGCGACGACGCCTACAGACAGCTCTACAGGACATACAGCCACAAATCATTGCTGGTAAGAGATCATTACAAATCTCTTCCGATAATAGGAAGCAGCATGGGTTAAGCTAACGTCACTTACTAATTTAAGATATTCTTCTGTGTGTTTGATATCAGTGTGTTTATTAATAATAGCAATAACAATTCCACATGCGCAAACAAAATGAAAGGAGAGTTAGGCGAGCGCCATACTGTGGAGATGGCGTAACACGATCCCTTCATGTGGTAAAAAAAAAAACACATTTCCTCCTCGCAAAGGATGAGTCTCTAGTGGTATCTCTACTATGGGGTTTTTCATTTTACCATATTAGCAATCCAGTTCCTGAATCTCAGGAATTTGTGCATCACAAACGTGATTTTCTTCCCGTGGCAATAGTAAAATACTCACCTTCGCATGGCATTTCTACCATTCTGCACCTATTGATGCGATAAAGATCTTAAGAGGACAAGAGGTCCTCAGCGTATGATCTGCAAAACTGTAAAAATAGTTCATGAACAAATTTCATAGAGAAATGACTTTAGTTTATTGGCACTAGCACACCATCAACCAGATATAGCGCCATTAATTATATTTAATTAATTAAAATTTTCATACAGTATACGTGCCATACGTCCTTCACCGAAACAAACTTTCTGATAGAATACGTTGCTGGTGTCCTTTAGAGCGAATTTAAGGCACTAAACAACTTAGAAAAGAACTCGCAGTTCTGGAACGATACGGATCGATGTTTGACCCAAACGAGAACATTACATACACCTTCAAGATGTTGAAACAAAAACGAGTGAACCTAAGCCCTGACGAATGTGCCATGAACTGCCGAAGATGCGACTTCACTTGCCATTATCCATGCATAGAAAACGAGATGGAGACGAATTGTCAAGCGATGGGCATCGGGATAGTGGAAAGTGCAGTGCCACACTGTCTTGTTTGTCCCGACCATTGTCCACCAGACCAGCATGTGAAAAGCAAATATTACCTCGAACTGTATGAGGAAGAGGTGAAGAGAACTACTAAGGAATTGAGTGCGAAATATGAGGCAGCAGCTGGAAAGAAGTTGACTCCGAAAGGGCTGAGGATGGAAATCGTTAAGGCATTCAATAGGGAATCGGCGAACATGATGGATTCAACCAACAAAGCACGCGAATTTTTACAGACGCTCAACCAAATAGCATTGAGGCCCGTTCCCTTGGGGGTCATTGAATATTCGGAATCAATAATTGAGACAGAAAGGAGAGAAGGCAGACAGAATCTAACCCAGAGAATCGCATACATGGAAGACATACGGGCCAAGGCAGTACTAATTCAAATGATAAATAATCCAGATTTACCTAGCGTCTCCCATTACCTTAACCTCTTCATTGACATCGAGAAAAGACTAGGCACATCTGGGAAAGTCCAGAGGATCAAATATCTCGAAGAAGCAAAAGCAAAAATGAAGAAGGAGTTGTAATGATCTGATCCCTTAAGATTATATGAGGTAGTTTTGAATCATGCACGGATCACCTTTGCAAGTAAGGTAACGGGGACAAACAGTGAAGTTACTTATCAACATTTCACCACCCCCCCCCCTCTATCGCCTTGTTACATTACCATTCTTGTAGAATCATCTAGTCCTCCAAACATGATAATGCTAATATGGAGATACACGCCTAAACTCCCCAAATTAGGCTCGACGTTCTCCGATTGTTTGGAGCATCCAAGAATTGACTATCCAAGAATGATAGCGTAACAATCCGGTTTCCCAATATTAACTCAACAACCCATTAATTACCCAACGTTGATAATTTGTTGATGCGGATGATGAGGATGTTGACGTCGATTGAATGCAATGTCAACATCGACACGATGTTGAAGATATCAATCGCGATGACATTTTTCGTTCCACGTTGCATCAACAGCTGTCGGGCGAGACATCTGCCGAGACATTCTGACAAGCAAGGTTCTCTGACCCCGAAGCGAGACAGAGACGAATCGCCGACTCAGCCAGCTAACTTGCACATGCAACCGGCATGCGCCCCTGGTACTGCTCGATCGATACTTCTTGATTTAATCTCTCGACAGGTGACACCTGGAAGATACTTAAATCCAAGATACAGTATATTCGACAAAGGAGAGTAATTGTGACTCCAGAAAAAGGAGAGAAGAAAGTTCATTTCTTGCTGTGACTAATCAAAGTGACTTGTCAATGAGACTCGTCAGCCCCAACTCGAAAGAAATTTCAAAACTAGTCCTGTGAGCGACGCAAATGGTTACGTATATTGATACCATCGCATTTTCAATGGCTGCAGTCACTCCATTGTACACTTGCTCCTGCGAGCCCGGAATGGTACGATCCTATTTGACATAGAGTCTATGCTGCTTCAATTACGAACTCCCAGGAGAAACCTCGCGAAGAGAGAGAGTCTTTCGATTGAGCAGATAAACTGAAGCACCGTCATAAAGCACAGTCGAGGATAAATTCAAATCCACAATAATTACTGATATTCGTCCTCGAGTCCGTTTTATGTACACCCCTGCGACTTCCTGGAGGGCATTGTTGTGGGTGTCACTGTGGATGGAGATGACAAGGTTAGTCGACTAGGTATTTTTAATTACAAATGCCTCTTGGAATGGCGCCGCGGCGACGGCGTCCGACGGTATCCATGCCGTGGTGACGGTATGAACATGGACGATATTCCAAGGTTTTCATACCGCGGCGATAATATAGAAGAACGTCACGAGGACCAAATACCGAGATTTGGTGAAGACACCGGCATACCGCAACACCCTGCCACAAGAAACCAAATTGCGCATGCACAATGCATTTTTGGCCAAGTCGAGACCTGTCTCGTCCCAAATTTCAGCCAACGCTGATTCAATCTCGCAATGTTCTTCCACTTGGAATATTATGGATGTCGAATCTTTGATGCTCTTACAGTGTTGCATCAACATTACAGTGTAGATTGTGGGTTTTGGGCAAGCAGCCTCACCGTTCTTCCCTCGTCACTCTTCCTTCAATGGTTACATTTGCGGTGTTCCAAAAATCGTTTGGGCCCCCCTTGTATTCAGGTAGTGATGAAAATGAAGATGCTACTTCAATTGCAATCGGTGCACCTGATGAAGATCCAACGTCTACGGTGCCCCAAAGTGCTAAATGGAAAATAGAAATAGAAATATTGGTGCAACTACAATCGAATAAATTATGTTGACTCCGACCTGCCTGAAATGTCACGTTTAATCTTTGAAATCCTGAGTCTCACTTCCCCTCTCTTTTGAATGAAATGAGAGGTGGAGAACAAACAATGATGAGCAATGGTATTACTGCGTAATATCTCGTTTTCCTAAGCGTTTTCCACAAGAGGTCCATTACTGCAAGACCTGTTCTTAACTCCTGTTGAATATGAGCTGGATGGCGATTACTCTCTGAACTGCCGATGGCGCGAGTGTGGAATACAGTGGGGGACAAAACTGTGTGAATGTTCGGCACAGTTCCGGTCGATGACTCAAAACTTGAGTATAACGAGCTCGATTTAACTTAAATTCCAGTCAATCATTTGGGTCATCCGGAAAGATCTGCGGTTTTTCAAACCCACGCGCGCATCGGCTCGAATTTCGAGTTAATGCTTCAAGAGAGGACATTGATTTCTCGCCTGATGAGAAAAGCCGGATTTTCCTCTTCAATATTTTTCCATTCTGTTAACATATTGCGTAGTAGGTTCGATTCTGTGCTGGGGTGAAGATGAAGAACCAAAAGCAACATTTTCGCAATATAATGCTTTTTTA